TGAAGGATGGGCGTCGGGAACGATCCATTTGCAACTTAAAAATGTTAACAGCAAATAGATTATCCTAATCACAATGTAAACAAATAATGGCAACATGGGAACTTTAAAAGCCACTTAGGGACCCTTTCAACGTGTAAGACCTTACTAGTGAACCTGTTGCTCGAATTCGAACAACAGATTTCGAACAGAAAATCAACTTTATTTATTTACGTACTCGAGCAGCTGACGAACTAAGGCCTTGAACAGGATCATTGAGGAGTTGGCACTCAACCCATGTCTTGACGTCCGAGAGATCAGTCCCAGCATGCGTGACGCCCTGGCACATGTGCGGTCCAAAATCAAACGAAGCATCAATCAGAACGCCCAGGTCCTTGGTGATGTCACACCTTTCCACCATGTTCCCGTCAAGGAAATAGTCGGCTTCCAAGTTGTTCTTTTTTCTACTGAACGTTATAAGTTTCGTTTTGGCAGGATTTGCTGACATATCATTCACTAAACACCAACTGACGACGTTGTGGTAGTTCTTGAAGTAGTTGACAGTCAGAGTGAGAGTTGACTTCCGCGAACAACTTTATATCATCAGCAAACAGTAGAAAAGACACCTTTAAATTTTTCGTTAATGTCGTTGATAAAGATCGAGAACAAGAGTGGACCAAGATGAGAGCCTTGCGGGACGTTGGAACTCGCGTCAAAGGTAGCAGAGACGTGAGACTGAAAGACAACAGCCAGACGTCGATCATCGTGAACCAATTGAAAACGGCAACAATTTAAAAATTTTCTATCTTACATATCTTGAAAACTAGCTATTCTACCATTACGTGCAAAATTAATGATTTTTGCCAAATTCTATATCGTGTCAGTGCGTAAAATTCTGACTTATGTACAGTACTAGAATAATTTTACGTGAGTGGGGGGAGGCAAAATTCCAAGAGTAAAATCTGGTTTGTAAAGCTACAGTTTCCGAAGCCTTGATAACATGGAAAGGGGGTAAAATTTTGGCTTTTATTGCTAATTGAATATATCCCCACTCTGTCTTATTTCCTTAGACGCCCATGTTAGGAGGGTTGGCATTAACCGAGCGAACAAACTTGAGAGAGCTCGGATTGCAACGTCATAGCAATTTTGACATACCAATGGGTTTTCTCCAGGGGTAAAATTCCGGCTACCGTCTAGTAGACACCTTTATTATCTCCTCTAACTCGATAACGTAGGTACTTTTCGATTTGAAATTCTTCACAGTCGCGATTGTTTAGTTCGACTCGGCTCAATTTTCTGACCTGGTCCTGGATTACCAAGCTTTAGGATCATCTCGGCTCGAAATCCGAAACTGTTCTGAGTTATGAATCTCTAGTTGAGTTATGAGAAAAATAGAAGTTGTCTTATGAACAATGTTAGGTTGTGGCAAAATTTTGATCTTTAAGCCTACTTCCCAATTCTTTTGTTGGATGCGAATGTCATAGTTGTCTTTTGGTAGTTTAAACAACGGAATTATAACGGTTATGTTTCAGGTACACTCTGTGGGGCTTTGTTCGGATGTGGAATTGGATACATGGCTGTAGGTAACGAAAAACATGATGGCGAGTTTGACCAACCTTGCATTCACTGCCAATACAAAAGGGACCCCCTACTAGGCACTTACAAGACGTGTAAAGGAGTGTTCCTCAAATGTAAAACAGTCGTGTCAGAGCAAGAAATAAACGGCGGGAAAACCCCACTTTCTAAGCAAATTTGTAAATCTCGCCTGTAAATACAATAAACAAGATTCCAGAAAATTGTTAACTTATTTATAATTATACCTAATATTATTTCATCGTGTTAATTAAAATTAATTTATAAATAAAAACCTCTTTTAAAACAAAACATTTTTAAACGCAGTAAAAAGGAGAAAATAATTTATAGTAGGGAGTATAAATACTTGTAAGATTTAAAACGAACAACTTGGGGTGCATGCAATTGATGATAATACATTAGTTCAATAGGTGAAGGTGATTGTAAATTATCTATTGTATGCACCCCACGTTTTTCGTTTTAAATCTTACAAGTATTTATACTCTCTACATATTTATAAATTATTTTCTCCTTTTTAGTGTGTTTAAAAACGTTTTGTTTTAAAAAAGGATTTTATTTAGAAATTATTTTTTTTCTTTTTAGTTTTTAATGTGTGTGAATGTTAAATCTATTTCAATCATCTATATCAAAGCCTCTGTATACAGAGGCATGTTGGAAATATAAGGTTTATTTGTTTCCCCCAAAATCCCCCATTTTGGGGACGAACACTAAGTGGCGGTTATGCCCAAAAAGTACTTCTTAACATGCCATAATGGTGTGCCTAGTTTAGTTTTTCTAGTATGGGCCGTTAAAAAAATAACAGGGGGTCTCCACACTTTTTACTAACCCTGTATATATGAATTTGAACGGGTGGTGTTTTGGGCCTCTAGGGACCTCAAAACGAATAAGTAAATCGGCCCCGGGTCCAGGCCTTACGACGATTACTACAGTAATAGCTTATTCCCTATAAGGGAAATTCGGTAATACACACAATCTTAAATAAATAAACAATTTTTAATGGACTGACAATTTTAATCTGGGACACATTTAATTTTAACTGCAAATTTAAAAAAAAACCTCCACTAATAGTAAAATTTTGCCAAAATTGGCAAACGCGTTGAAGTATGAGAACGAGAGCTATAACTGTTGGAAAAACGATAAAATAAACAACAGCAGAAGGGCTCCTTTGTTGATTTTTCTTCAGTCCTTCAGTAAAAGCAACATTTCAGCCCCACACTTTTCCATGAAGTATTTCAAATAAACACTTTTGTTAGCCTCCTAAAACACTTGTAACTTAACTGAAAAAAGACATATTCTACAATAAATTATCACAGGTACATATTACGTTACACTTAAAAGGATTATATTGTTTAGAAACATTCAAGTTACACTATTAAAAGTATTTTTGCCATTTTTAATGCTCAAGTTAGATTTCTTAACTACCTTATTTTACGTAAGGAGGCAGTTAAGAATGTACGTTCATATTGTTTTTCACATTACTTCAGGCTAGACCTAGGGTAAAATGGAAATAAATCGTCAAACAATAATAATACAATTGAGAAGGAAATTAAGACTGGTTAAAAAAAACTCCCACATAAGATAGTTTGTAATTTAAACTAGCATTTTAAAATTTGCAGAAAACTATTTAGAGTTGTTTAGAGTACTACAGTTAAGACTTTGAGTCAAAGTTAAGAAGACTCAATTCAATTCAGATTACAGCATTCAACCGTACGTTTTAGCATCCTAGAGTCAATTTCATAAGACTCTTTCAATTATGTGTTTAGCATGCTGTTCTGTAAAAATTAAAAAAAATATTTTTTTGAGTTAGATCGTTTAATTTATTTTTCCAAATGAATGAAGGGGTAAATTTACAAAATCCTTTCTTAAGCTAAAAAAGAATTACAAAATGAGTAGGCATCTGGATTGGTAGAACAAACAGAATTTTCTTTACCTATGTTACTCTATTGTAGTTTTATTTTGCAGAATTCTGTTCTTTATTTTGCAGAACTACAGCTGGTTTGCACTTGAAAAAGTATTAACCATACTCTATAAATATCACACTATAAAAGTTGGACGCTTTAAAATTACTCAGGGGACAGCCATGTTTCATGTGTTTTTTCTTTTTTTCTTTTTATTCTAAATATTGTCAAAATTTACCATTAGGCATTTTAACCATTAGTGACCTTCTGAGTAACATTGCTAGGTATACATTAGTAAGAATTCTCAGGGGATGAAGGAAGGAATAACATTATTTATAACAAAAAGGAGACTTTAATGTTAGAAATATAAATGCCACTGTGCCCAGCAGCTGTTGTTATTTGTAACATTTGTTCTTAAACATTCACAGGTAGAAAACACTCAACAGAACCTATATTAACAACTAAAGTTACAACAAAACATTTGCACTTCTCTTTTCAGGTACCTTTATCACAATCTCCTCTTTCTCCGACGAAAATGTATCTTTGCAATCAACCTTGGTTACTTTACACAATCAAATATACAAACTAAGATTAATACCCTTATTTAACAAATAATCTTACATATTATACACCTGGTACTGTCTTTAACATTTCAAAAGGAACTTTGATTAAGTTAAAGAGTTATGGAACATTGATGGTTTTCACATTTAGGGGACCGCACGTCCGGTATACACACATATTATTGTTATTCAATATGTAGAAGGTCTTGTGGCTAATTTCGTACTTATGGAATTCAAATTTAAATGACTGATATTCATTCATTGTCAAATACACAATTTAACATAATAATAAACGCAAATAACTTTAAAGTCAATACAATATATTATTTGTAAATTATGTTATAAAAACTTTTTTCTTTTACAAAATCAGTATGTTTCCTTGACTCCAGATAGCTTTTTTTTCTTTGATGAAAAAACTACTAATCTTGCAACGAATATATTAAAACAGCTGTTTTTGCTGATGTTTGACGAAAATAAATAATATTGAATTCTAACATTTTTATAAAGTTAGCACTGAAATTCCAAATCTTTTGTAGGCCCTAATGCTCGGTTCTATTTGGTTTTATATGTGTATTTATACATTTATTGTTATTCATACAGTTAGTTAGATAATAAGTCGAAATTGGCCAAGACTTGTCACTTTACAGTAGAATGGCTGGAAGAGAATTAAGTCTAATTCTTCAGGTTAAAAATCCGTATTTCAAAAATACTCCACACTGCATAAATAAAGTTATTTGATTATTGCCTCATTCGTATTCGTAAGCTAATTTATAAGAAACAACCAAGTCAATATTCTAAAATGTGTGCCATCAAAGTGATGATAATGGGAGTAACAAATAATAAATCTCTGATTATCTTCCTTCGTGGTAATTGGGACTAAAATTACTTTACAAGTATTGCTAGTCATAAAGAAATTAAGCCTTTTAAAATTTTTGTTTCACAACATAACTGCATTGCTATTCAAATATTTTCCTTTAAAAACGTATTTGAAACTATACAGACAATATATAGTACGCAGTGTGGATCCCAGAGGTAGATTATTAATAGTTACAACGATGCTGAATAGTTTTCAACCCACTTGTGTTTTACAGTGCAAACAATACGTACTTGAAATTGGTCGAGTTAACAAGCTAATTTAATTACTACAACTTCACTGCAAAAATTGAGTTTCGAGAACATGTGTTTTTCTTTGTATCGAGTTTTGTAATTGTTGCAGGGCTCTGCTTTAAATATTTTGAAAGCAGTTTGGGCAACAAATGTACCCAAATTTAGTGCAATAGTGCCTAGTGGGTAGCGTCTTACTCTTTTAAGTAGTGTTCCAAGTATTGTTATTCGTATGTACAAACTAAACTTGATAGGTTTAAACCAATGTTATATACACAATTTAAAGTTTCATTTAGGTCTAACACACTGATGGAGTATTTCATAGAAAACTATTTGTAATCGTAGTATTAATAATCTACCTCATTTTCTATACAACCTTATCACTCTGGGAAAGGGTTATTACGAAATTCAGACTGTAAGTACCAATAGTCATAGATACAAAGTAGACATCTATCACCAATGTCAACGATGTAATGATTTGATAATGTACGTCAAATTTTAAAAGAAAGCTTCTGCTCCACAAAAGGCGAAATTATATGTCTGCAATTACTTAATTTAAATTACAATTCAAAAAGACAACTGATGGATTACTGCCTCCTCACAGTCACTTTAAAAACCCAAAAAGTAAATTCAACGACAGTGCACTTTCTGATTCCAATCCTGACTTACCAACATGGACTTTTATAGATGTTTACTTTGATATCTACAGCTGATTATTGGAAGAAGTACCCTGTTTAGAAAGTCTCATTGAAGTTTAGTGACTCCTGGTAGTTGCTGGAGGTGCTCCGACTGACCATGAAGGAGTTGTTGGTGGCTGGGGAGATGAGAGAAAGGGGAAGTGTGGCCACCGCGGAGATGGCTGTGGAAGGGGAAGGGGTTGACCACGAGCCAGGGGATGGGGTGATGAGGGGAGTCGCCTGGAGTGACAGAGACAGAGGAAGCGCAGCCGCTCCGGAAATAGCCGAGGATGGAGTCGTTACACGATGTTCGTTCATGGACCTGAACCTCGAAGATCTTCCGAGTCTGCTGCAATGGCACTTCAGTAACCTGTGACATGGAAAACGTGTTCAACAATAAACATTGTTGGAAGAAGAAGAATTGGTGTTCTTTCATGGACCTGAACTTCGAAGATCTTCCGAGTGTGCTACAATGGCACTTCAGTAACCTGTGACATGGAAAATGCTTTGATCAATGAAAATTGTTGGAAGGGGATGGTTAGACACTCGGTGTTCTTTCATGGACCTGAACCTCGAAGATCTTCTAAGTCTGCTGCAATGGCACTTCAGCAATCTGGAATAATGTAAAATGTGTTGAAAAATAACCATTGTCGGATGATAGTTTGCTAGCATCATCTGAACCTTGAGTATCTCAAGTTGTTTGCACTTCAGTAATCTTGAACACATAAAATCTAGTTCATTGAACAGTGATGGTGAATTTTGGAGTTGTTGCACATTGTTACTCAACCAAGAGGGTATCCCAAGGCTACTACTGTGGCGCTTTAGGAACTTTGAACAAGTGAGGGTTTAAAAAATTTTCATAAGCACTGCATCAAATTATTCTGTGATATGATTATTTTACTATCAATGAGCTTTTAATAAACATAGTCAAGCCTAAGCAATGGTTGTTTTTGCATTCTTTCATCAGTCTTTCGAGGGACCTTGAAAATTTGTAGGGAAACGCAAATTATGACTCATTAGAAACCAAAGTTAATCCTTGTATTTATACCAGGACATTATTTTAGATCAATCAGTTGCCGCTGTTAACATTCAAGAAAGTATACAACAAATGAATTTGGGAAGCTATTGTTTGAGTGGCCAGTAAAGTTAAGCATTAATTCAAGCTGAATTGAGTGTTGTATTAATTACTCATGAACTAATATGCTCCTAAATCAATCCTATTTTTTAATAGAAAAATCTTTCAATATTTTGTCATCTTAAACCAATTTATGATTAATAGCAAAAGGAATATCAAGCGTTAAACAGTAAAATATCAGAAAACAACAATAATTTAACTATGGCTCTTCAAGTAAGTGAGTTACCATATTTTATATTGAAATTTAGTTACTGCACTGCTTCTGCACTGAAAACAAACTTTTTGCAAGTACCAAGAAAAACGATAAAATATCGATCAAGATAAATGAACATGTGAGAAAGGTTATTCACTGAGAGAACCCATTTCACTAACACATGTGATAAATCTAATTTTTAATGGAAAACAATCAGAGGAAACGAACTGACAACAGAAATCCGCAGAAGTGATTGACGAGCAGAGGTAACAATATAACCAAACCCTCTCCACCGTCAGTCAATCCTTCGCTCCTGTTTTTCACTCTGATTTACTGTTATTTTTCAACCCTGTATTCGAATTTTCTTTCCGAAAACAAATTTTGTGCGATCTGAGTTTTTTGAGTATTGAGTTGTTCAGGAATCATTTAGGTTACAGCTAATATAACGAAGATTTAAAATGTTGACATAGATTTTGGATTTTATTAAGGTCAAGTGTCACATAAAATGAAAAAAGTTAAAATATGTTTTAAACATGAACCATCCTCATATACAGGGTTCACTATATTAATTAAGAGTTATATTCCTATAAAATAAGAATATGGGGCATAATTATGAAAGTAAATGTTGAAAAAGTAAAGGAATGACTGAGCTTTGTAAACTTTCATAAGTTTTTTTTAATAAAGCATTCCATTGTATTAGATTGTCCTTGTTGAGAAGTTTGTAAGGTGTGTTTTGATTATAACTAATAGGTCAATGGTTACTACTATGAAACCTTAGTAACTATGCATGTCAAATATTACTATTCCTATTTACAGCCACCGCCTTACTTTAAAGGTCTCAAACCCACCCCCTATTCAGACAAAAGTTTAACCAAGAAATATTATACCCGAGTCGTAAAACATGTAGTAAAAACATCGCAGCTGCATGACACTGTTTTGCACGACTTCATTTTACAGCTTGTAAACATCTTCATAGTTAAATGTTGTGTTCCTTGTTTGATTTGCTGCACCTGAGAACACCCGCATTGCGCTGTATAATGCAGTTGATTCCAAGTACCTTGCCAAGAGTTGTCCCATGCGAGATGTTAGTTAACCGTTATTTTTAACAATAATCTGTTTAGTTTAAAATTATATCACAAGGCTCTCTTATAACCATTTCCTACGTTTTGATATTATATCGTACTTCCATATCTTGTATGTCATGTAGTAGATTTAATTCTGTGCAGCAGTATAAATATTTTTCTTGAAGTTCGCAAACATTTTTCGTTTTTTTTTTTTGTTTCTTTGGCCGCTAGGTCTGAACCCCGATTGTTGTTCACGTTACTTCAGGTTAGACCTAGGGGTTGCAACATTATCACTTAGATAAAATCCATTAGTGATTTAGTGGGATTTGAACCCTCATTTGATCCCCCCCTGACCTCGGGGACCGAAATATCGTGCTCTAACACTAGGCCACTAGACCAACTCGCTCCCCGAAACCTCCCCGAAACATTGATTATTAGAAAAACATTATCCAACGCCTTTATCAAATCCATAGTCTTATCTTATAACTTGTTTTTAAATTATGGTTCAGAAAGAAATATTTTTTATCCAACAGATTAGCATTTAACAAAAGTTTATGAACTTATCAAAAAGTCTAGTAACTGAATGCTTCATTTTCCTATTGTTTAATTCCATGTCCCACGATGTAACCATTCACTCACTGGTATTTTTCTAATATTCGTGCTTTTTCCGTGGCTAAAACCGAGAGAAAAAATAAAATAATAACAGTATCACAATCCAGCAACATTAGGCTAAAGATCTAACACTGTTTATTCGCCATCAACGAATAAGCTTTTAAAATATAATTCCTTTAAAGTTGATAGTATTTTAAGTGAATAAATAAAATTTTTACAAAAGTTTGTTTATATATAAACCTCTTTAGTTCCTATGTTATTTGAGTCTTCAAATGAAAGGTTTCATTTATTTTAATCCGTTCACAAATTTCTAGGTGGTTTGTCGGGAAGTGATTCAATCCCCTCCACCTCACCCTAACTTTGAAACAACAGCCAACACCTGATCAGTTTATGTATAGATCTAGCTAAAATAAATAGTGTTGGGAACCCAGGAAACATTCCCTTTAAACAGCCTAAATTTTGTGAACAGACTATATCCTTCCACTAAATCAGTTTTGCTAGTTATATTAGGCATGATCTATAATTTGTCTAAGTTATATAAGCTAACACACATAAATCAAACATATTACAAAATTACTGCCACACAACCTATTGGACCGCACTCCGATCTCCCACGATTCCCACTCATACTTCACTTCTACACCATTTTACTCAAGTTGGCTATTTTTTCCTCCAATACTTCACTCTTACACTATTTTACTCAACCATCCCCAGTTTACCTGATAAATGCGTTTCTAAAAGTCCTGTTGAAGATTGTGTAGATGATTGGGTTGATGGTGGAGCTGACGTAGCCAAGCCACAGGCATATGTTGACCACGTGTTCAGGCACAGGACACTCAGGACACGCGGCGAAAAGGATGTTCAGGACGAAGAACGGCGCCCAGCAGAAGACGAAGGTGAAGAACACCAGCCCCAGGACCTTGGAGGCCTTCTGCTCTGTGGCGACTGCGTTGGCCGCCAACGATTGCCGCTTGCTCCGGTTGCCCAGGAACCTGGGAAAGATGGAGTTTGTTAGTTTGAGGTAAACAAATTTAAGTTTGTACATGAAGATCTCTGAAACGGAAAGAGGTTCGAACAACTAAGAAGGTCATATTCCCTCCTTTATACGTAGTCCACCGGTAATATTTCATATGGAGATTAGTGGGGTTTGAATTATACCGTATAGATCGTTGTCGATTACACACCAGGGTTCTATCTAAAATCAAAAGAAGACAATGATTGGTCTTACGTATCTTCGGAAATAGTCCAACAATTCAGATTGCTCAGTACATAAAACGAAAGTTTTTAGTTTTAATTGTGTTTTTGATGAGTTGCAACTTGCGATGCTTGAAAAGTTTGTTTTCGCAACGAAGCATTTAAGCAGTGGCTACACTTGCCCGATTCGGTCCGGTCCTCTAAAATGTGGACCAATGCTTCCCATGTTTTTAAATGGAGGCGGCTACAGCAGCGGCTACACTTGCCCGATTCGGTCCGATTCGGTCCGGTTCGGTTCGGTTCGGTCCGGTTCGGTTCGGTTCGGTCCGGTTCGGTTCGGTTCGGTTCGGTCCGGCCCAAATTTGTGTTGGTTGGCTACACTTGTACGAATCGTTTCGGTCCTGTCCGGTCCGGCCATAAGAGGTAGCTACATTTGTACGATATTGTGTACGATATCATGCTTTTAATTTTTTTTTACATAAAAACTGTACATTTCACATGTTTATAGTTATTTTGATCACCATCAGAATGAAAAACAGCACTGCTTGTTGCCAAAATAATATCAGGTCTATTTTCACAACTGTGCAACCTAATTTGCTATAACACCTAACATGTACTGTATAAATAAATGTTTGCACATAAAAATTATTATTGATTTTCCTTTTAAATTTGTATACCCATTTCAAACAATGTAGAAGCAGTATGTATATATTATCATTTAGATTTATATTCCCATTTCAAACAATGAAGTAGCAGTATATAATACATCAATACTTTACATGTATATAATAATTATATATAATAACATTTATAATATTAGTAAGATTAAATATAATTAAATGAACGTTTTGTGTGCAACAGGGCGTACAACACAACTGACTTTATAAATAACCCAAAATCTTAGAGCGTATATTCAAATTGAGTCCCCTTTGTATCTTGACTCACAGAGAGCTTAGCAGCTTCCTTTAAAACATGTATGATGCCATTGAAGGGATCCTATTAAAACTTATTTCACATGTAAATGGATATAATGAACATTGGTGGCAATGGGGGTTAGTACAGTTCCTACTGCATTTTAAGGTACTGCACTCGGTATACAAATTGCATTTTCGAAAGACTTTTATAAAACTGTATTTTCGATCAAGTACTATTTTTCATCTTAGATCATTCATTTCTATACTTAATGCCACCCTGTGAAGTATTGAGTGTATTTTTATTAGGTTTTTCTTCTCCCCACATCGGCTTGAATTTAAATATGCTCACATGTGATCGTAAATTTTAACTCAGGATACACATCAAAGAAGATCTTATACATACAAATGAATAATAAAAATCTGGGCATAACATTGTGCTAATTAGGAACATCATTGGTTCATCAAAAACTTCACAAAGACAATAATTCTTAACAAACCAAATACATTTTTAACTATATTCAAACTGGACGGAAGATGGTTCCAAAGAATAAAAAAATATTGTTACAGAAAAATCTAAAGCACAACAAAGTACCTAATACAACAAAATTAATTAAGCTCTTAAACTACTTAAAATATATCCTCAATTATTGCATAAATTCTTGCATTATTGCATTATTATTGCATAAATGACATGGTTTAATGAGTAAATATTTTACAAACAGAAAAATAAACAAGCCAGTTTATAGACAACAATGTCTCTGAAAGATCAAATAACCTTAATGAGCATGAATATTTCAATTAGTTTTCAGAGGTTGAATACTTTAATATTATCTACATGCAAATGTCTTAAATCAACCAGAAACCTCAAAGAGTACAAAGCGTTGACCATTTAATCACTAACATTTATTCACTCTTTTCAAGCTAAATAGTACAATCCCTTAGGAATGTTCAAGTAAAAAAAGCATAACCCAAAGCAAATTGGATGAATACCAAAGGGGTTTTTGACGCTTCAAATAGGAAGAAGATTAAAGCATTCCATTCGTGAACATTCAGTTTTCTTCGTCAAAACAATGGATCTGGTTGAAGGTTTAAAAGTAGGCTAGTACCAGTGTAAAGCAAATTTGACAGGAGCATTTGGCGATCATAACAAGTCCAGAGATGCACGTTTGTGAAACGATTGCCAACACTAACATGAAACACATCGTAAACATTGTTTGGTGTGAATCTGTGTTTCACACTCGTGCAAACTGGCTTTGTTTCAAACACTCGGTATGTTTGTGTTTACTCGATGGGAATCAGTTGACTGTTGAATTTGTGTTTACGTATCACTCAGAGTCAACTGTGAGAAAGGTAAATTAAAACGTAACAAATAACGAAGATACATTGGTTTTGGTTTGATAAAGGGTTTCATTAGTTAAATATTGGAAAGCCTTCTGCAGAATATTGATTCTATAATTGGATTTTTTTATATAGTAGTTGTATCCATGTTAAGTGACAAATCATGATTCCAGGATTTAAAAACACTGAGAAAAAACAGTTAGTTCATAGGCTGTAGAACACTAAATGACTAATTTTAACCAATGGTACTTCATATGTGAGTATTTTTACATCGTTGGCATTTTTACACTGTTCCGTAAAGGAACTGTACAAACCCTGGTCTGTGCCATTTACCTCTTGTAATGTCAACCTTTTGTTCGATTCCACTATTAGCCCAATGGCAAATGCCATCTGGTCTGAAATCACCCCACTTATAATTGTACCATATTTTTGAAGGTGAGATCCCCAGACAATTTTGGTCCGGTTGATTTTGTGTGTTTGAAAGGTAAACCAACCTGTTTGACTATAATTGTAATAGAAATATTGATCTTTTCACAGAAATTGAGATCATAAAGCAATTATAATTTACTCTTAAAGCATACTATCACTACAATGATTTTACTTCCTTACTTAGAAGGATTAAATACAATTGTTACAAATAACTCATCCTAAGTCAGCTGAAACCAAAATTACTAATTGCAATGTAAACGTAATTACGGTTTTGAAATTAACTATACGCGTACCAGACATAGGATAATGTACAAAATATTTCTTGGAAATACTCTTGCAGGTGATATGCGGTTTTTGTGTTCAAAAAATGAGGATATGGCTATGAATGTTGTGAAACTCTAGAAGTATGATAACATAACCGAGATAAAATATTACAGGTTGACAAATTGGCCTGAATGAGATCCAACGCTTTATAATATTAATTACATTAAACTTACAGTTATAAATGATATGTCACATGAAAGAGCAACTCAAACAGTTTTATTCGTTAGCACCAGTGCGCATGCGCGTGAAATGTTTACACCGCGATCCGCTAGAAAGCGGTAGTAGCAAAGATGGCGACTAGTGAACAGAAAGCGTTTTGTGTTTTGCAGTTTGCAAAGACTGAATCTGTAGTTACTGTGCAACGTGCGTTCCGCATTAAGTTCGGGTGTGATCCTCCAAGTGACAATAACATCCGTAGATGGTTTCATCAGTTTGAAGATACAGGCTGCCTTTGTAAAGGGAAGAGCACGGGACGACCAAGAGTTAGCGAAGAGGATGTTGAGCGAGTGAGAGAGTCGTTCACTCGTAGCCCAAAGAAATCAGTTCGGAAGGCTAGTCGTGAATTAGAAATTGCTAAGTCGACTGTTTGGAAAGTTTTAAGGAAACGATTGCAACTACGTCCTTATCGTTTACAGTTGTTACAGGCTCTAAAGCCTGCAGACCATGGTTTACGTGCCAACTTCGCTAACGTAATGCTGTTAAATGACGATGAAGATTTTCTAGATCATGTTGTTTTCAGTGATGAATCGACCTTTCACCTCAGTGGACATGTTAACACTCATAATGTGCGGATATGGGGCTCAAAAAATCCTCATGAGGTCGTACAAGTGCAACGAGACTCCCCTAAAATCAATGTTTTTTGTGCCGTATCCCGGCGGAAAGTTTACGGACCTTTCTTTTTTGGTGAAGCTACTGTTACTGGTACTTCTTACCTTGATACACTAGAGCAATGGCTCTTCCCTCAATTGGAACAATATGAACCAGAGAATTTCATTTTCCAGCAAGATGGCGCGCCACCTCACTGGCATAACGAAGTACGCGGTTGGTTGAACGTAACTTTACCCGACCGCTGGATTGGCCGCAAGGGACCCAATGACAGAGCTTGCTATGCGTGGCCTCCACGTTCACCCGACCTAACGCCATGCGATTTCTACCTTTGGGGTTTCATCAAGGATCGTGTGTATGTGCCTCCATTACCAGCTGACCTCCATGAATTACGAAACAGGATTGAAGCAGCTGTTGCAACAATTACTGAAGACACACTGCTCAACGTTTGGGAAGAACTCAGCTATAGACTTGATGTGTGCCGTGTGACAAATGGTGCTCACATAGAACACTTGTAAGCTTGTATATAAAACTGTTTGAGTTGCTCTTTCATGTGACATATCATTTATAACTGTAAGTTTAATGTAATTAATATTATAAAGAGTTAAAACCCCGATATTCATTTATGGACACCCGTATAAAGCAAACTAATTCAATTCTTACTATTATATCTTTGTAATTATTCTATTCTTTTAACCTTTCCGTGTATATCAATAACCAGTACTCGTGCTAAACTTTATTAGGTCTTTATAGTACAAAGACTGATTGCAAAAATTTTAATCTCGAAGTTATCTTTTATACAATAAACTTCCATATTGCTGTCCAATAAAATTATACCTCATGAATAAAATATTTAATCTAAAGTTAGCACAGATATATTGATCTTTCTAATCCAAGGTGGTTGCTTTAAAGGGTGTGATCTTTTACTATCGATAAAGTTGTCGCCAGATTTATAATAAAAATTGACTTAGTCGAATTACTCCACCAAGAGACTGCGCTGATTTGTGTAGAATACACCTACCTTTTAACTAAGTCAAACCGACATGACGACTTATCGAAAACTAAAGAATATTTTGTGATAGCAACAATTTTCATAGCAACGATTGACGGAGACTGTAGCGCAATCTAGGAGTGTTTAATTCAACTATGTTCCTTTGAATCAATTTAGGCTACTATACAACTGTTACATATTATTTATTTGATGTCTAATTTTGTAACCATAAGTCAATGATACAATCCAACCTGCATTCATAAACCTTAACAAGGCCACGGTGTGACAAAGTGGCAACACCGCAATCCCGGCCTACTGAATCAGCTGTTGCATTAATGCAACGTGTGTCTTACACGTTTGTTATTAATGTTGTTACCATAGCAATAGGCCGGCCTGTGCGACGTTGCCACAAATATTTGCTGCCCCTTTACGCACCAAGATCCGTGTATTACCTGAGGTTGAGGGCTGTAGGCGCTACATTTAGCGGGAGCCGGAGTGTCCTAGGCCGACTATGGCGGGTCTCTCGACTGATGTTGTCGGGTGTCTGAGTCCCTTGGTCCACGGATCCCATTTCACCCCTAGCTCCACCTCCGTTGGCATAGCTCAGAGCCGGCTGGGAGCTGCTCATTGCTCTCATGGAGTTGGAGTGTCGGTTGCTGTCAAAATATCAGATAAATTTAGACATCAGAAGTTTTTATTTTGTATTGGCGAGTGGAGGGATTCGATTCCGGAACCCTTGGGATCAAAGTCCCACGCTTACACTAGACCAGCTTGACAGCCTGAGATATTGGCTGCAATGTAATATTTCTTTTACTGCCAATAAGGCTATGACAATCTTCTTTGGCAAAATATTTCAGTACAAGCTCTAGTTTAACTCAGGTATATAGGTTCAACTCACCATCAGGATGAATAAAAACTATGAAAAAAGGCGGTTTGTATTTACAAAAACAAGACAGTTTGGCAATGTCTAAAAGCATTTGATGATCAAAGTGGGCAGGATCATTTAGGTGGGCAGGATGAAAAGGCATAGGTAGACTTGGTACATAAAAAATACAAAAAATAACAGCTATGACGACCAGCCATGGTTGGTGAGGTTCAATCTCAATGGAGCGTTTCCGTAGTTTAATAGATCCAATAGTTTGTTTAATTATAAGCTAATCTTTTTGACTTTGTATTTAGCTTATTAATGTCAAGCCTTGAAAAGTAATCGTACACTAATTAATTAACTATTTTTTCATGTTCTGTTATATCCAGGATTACTTTATTGGATGGGATTAGAGGAAGATAACGATTCTTAGTACTTCAGAGATAACCAAAAGAAACATTTTTATCTGAACAACACCAGTTAACAGTTGATGAGTCTCCATCTGCAGTTTGTGTAGTTAAAGTTGAAATATCGGTCTTAACTGTGATTCCTTTGTTTTCTTCTTTAACTAGCAAAGTTTAATCTTCTTTCGTGAAACATTTCATTCTGACTTTTTTAGCAACAATCTTATGGATTTAAAGTAAACAACAAGCTAAACAAAATTTCAATTACTGTTATAACCATGTTTGGACTGTGTCGATAGAGTTTTGTATAAATGTGTTTTTTGATTGAAACTGAAGAGAATTTAACTTATCTGTTCAATATAAATATTTTAACTACTAACATGCACTCGTTAGTGAGAGTGTTTACTAATAGCTTTCAATGGTAAAAAATATCGTTATTAAATAATCCTACATAGTTTATAATTTTTATATTCTAGCTTTATATTAAATATGAAGCTTTGAAATGAAAAATGAAATTTTAATTTTAATGTAACAAGGTTCAACATTTATGAATGTCAAATTAGCCAGTGTAGAATTTGGGGATTCAATTTAGATTGTAAGTAAAGGATTACCCGCATAAGTAGTAAAACCGTTGCAAGATGGTAGTATAGGTAGTTTTCCACTACTATATACTCGTATAGTATATCTAGATATCTATCTATACTATATCTATCTAGATATAGTATATATAGATATCCATCTATACTCTATACTATATTTATCTATATATAGTATATATATAGATATCTACTCTCAGCCATAATAGAAAAAAATAACATTTAGGCATTGAATAATTAATTTAAAACTTTGAAGGTAATCTTTGGATGAATTGTGTTCGGTTATAATAATATCATTATCAATAACTACCGCTATTATTTTGGGTTAAAATAATAAAAAATCCTAGAGGCCCACCAGCTGGTTACCTCGTAAACATGGTCCTACAAAAAATTCCTCGTGGCATTATTAAAGTGTTTATCGAGTTGAAATAAACTTTAAAATATACACAAAGCTCCAACCTATGCCCTGGACGAACTAAAACTTTGTAATAATTGTGTCTTTGAGTATTTACAAAATAATTTTAAAAATCCTAAATTAGTCTTTTTCACATGTGATTTTAGCTTTTAAATAACAGTTGAACATACATTTATCCCCGTCCACTGCAACAAAAAGCACACAATCATTGGAAAAAAATGGTTTTAGAGTGTTGAGACCTTGTACCGTAGAGGCATGTTTAGTTAGAAACATTAGTATGTTAGCCGCCATCTTGAATTGACCCGGTACTAAACTGTATGACTAGCTTGTAATCTATAATATAGTCCAAGATGCAGTAAATGCTCATACCTATCCGACTGTCCCGGAGTCTTGTAGATCAGCTTGTGTGAGGTGCTCATGGAGCGTTGATGTCTGTCAGGCGTCTTCTGGAAGCGGCCTCCGAGTCTCCTGAAGAGTTCAGAGTCTTCTCCGGGCTGCTGGGCCACAAAGCGTGCTTTCCGTCTCAGCAGCTGGACTGTGAGGGCGTACGTCACCACCATCGTGACCATGGGGATGTAGAAGGCCACGAGAGAGCCGAACACCCAGAACGTGCGGTTGTTAATGGCGCAGACTTGTGGCTCCGGCATTATGTTGAGAGGATCGTGCAGACCTGCACATGCCCAAGGATAACTGTGTTGCTAGCAAGAGTAAAACAAAAGCATACATCCTTCTGGTGTCTACACCACTGGAATTTTCAATAAAGGAATTGCCTACTCTATGAAAGAAAAGTAGATCGAACTCATTTTTTTCACACCAAAGTGTAATATGCTAACCGCTAGATAACATATCAAAAGTGTCACTGTAAAATGTTTTAAACCTAACTAATCTAACGAAATGTATTTTTTACAATATTTACCCTTTTAAGCAATAGTTGCAATCACATTAGAAAATGAGTGGGTACTGACATCCATTGCGATAGGTGATACACTCTTCTTGTTTCAATTCAGGGTGTTTACAATGGGCTTAAGTGATATTTATGGTGGTCAACAAATATTTGGATCCATTTCGATTTATCTTGAGAAAGTCTGTTAAGTCTGGTTTTATACTTGAAACTGTAGTCTTCGTTGGTGAATCAGGTAGCTTTCGTTGTAGAACAAATCTGTTTATTCACTTTCCCTTCTATTTGTGTGGTCTAAGTAAACAAATAACCTTTTTTCATCAGTCATCTACAAACTAGTTCATCCGTACCTAGTAATGTGATAGAACTGGACACCAGCATCGAGAGCGCCCAGACGAGAGCTATCTTGATACCAACCAGTCTTTTGGTAGAGTACGTGTGGCGGGTCTTGAGTGGGTTGCGGATCCCGAGGTACCTGCCTAGACTGATGAAGCACATGTGCATGATGCTGGAGGAACACGCCAACACGTCGCAGGTCACGTAAACGTTGCACCACACCACGCCCAACGGCCAGTACCCTGTGAACGTGACGTTAGGTAATTTGTTAAGTAAATAGCATTGTCAAAATGATAGGACATGGGCCTGATGTAGCTTCATTTCATTAAAAGATCAAAGAGACGTCTCACCCAAGTCCATTCTGCATTACCATATTAATCATAATGGGGCATTTGAAAAATTCTAAATAATAATGTTTTTCCCTCCACTTATTAGCCTCCAGAACTTCATTTTATACACTTTTTATACAACTTAACACTCCAGGAAGAGCGTTAAGGATTATGTATGGATCGTCCATAAATATGTACAACTCATCCTAATATATTAAAACTTGCACATTTTTTTACAAGTTGTTAACCCATTAAGTATTATATAAGTATATAGTTACCTAAAAATCCAGGAATCGCTCCCAAAGGCATGACGAAGAGGCTGACCAGCAGATCAGCGATGGCAAGCGAGAGCAAGAAGTAGTTGGTAACATTTTGTAACCTTCTGTCTAAACATACTGCGAGACACACCAAAATGTTGCCAATACCACCAGCAACTATGAAGACTAGGACGAACAAGAAACTCCATTCGTAATGCGGGTTGGCCCCAGACCCCGAGTAGTTGTCCCAATAACACGTATAATCCCCGGGGTCGTTGAGATCACAATGTACATGAGAAGAGTTTATCGCAGGCAGGTACAACCACAATTTGGACAAATTCAACCCAGGAACTAGCACTAGATGTAAAACTTGGTCCATACTGTCTCCTGTACAGTCGAGATGTCTTCCTGCTGTTGGTTGGCACAACAGTCCCGCTCCCTCCCCAACCCCACAGTCCAGCGTGGAGTTGTCCAAGTGGCAGAGCCAAGGTGGGCGCCATGTTGTGACGTCACTGGGCTCCAAGGTCGTGTTATCGAACTGCGTCGACCACTGCCGAATGCCGGTGAACATGGCGTGTCCCAGAACCCGCAAACACTCACTACTTTTTCGAACATTCACGTGCACTTCTTTCCAGTTGGCACACTTGTATAACTCATCTTATATTTTCCTTCACTCGTCCTGCAATCAAATAACAATTAAATTACATAACGTAATTTTAAGTTTAACAAACGTTGAAATTGATTTAATCATCTAATTTAGTCTAGTCGGCGAGATACAAAGAGATGCTGTCTGTATTTGAGAGTGTGTGTGTGTTAGTCAGACAGTCTGTACACGTTGCACAAATGAGATTTTGATCGTCACCCGTGACGAGGGTGTTGTGAAATAGAGTCGCACGGGTCCGTACTAAGCTCTTCCTCTGCATTCAGTTCATCAGTAGAAAGCCATTTTTACTTCTCTACTGATTACTAAGTCGACTTGTGGGTTAGTTTTTATAATATCGTTTGCCAATGTTGAAAGGCATAATTAATTAATTTATCATCAGCTGAAATTGCCCGATTTGACCTATGATTAATTGGTCTTATGTCGTTGTCCAAAAATCAAAAACTAATTTAACCGTATTTTTTCTTATTAGTGACATTGTTTCTAAGAAGCAATTGGTAAGTGAGACCTATTGTATATTGATACCCTGACGTTCGAATAGTCTATTATAAATTACTACACATTTTAATAGTACCAGGAATTAAAATGTTTGTAAACAAGTATATTTACGTTGACTATAATTTTTGTTACAAAAAATTATCTCCTTTGGTTGATTTGTCAAGCAGTTAAATAAACTTTTACGTTATTCCCATTATATTTTCTAACAGTTTTAGACAGCCTCCTGTTGATAAGTGGAACTCTAAACATATCTTATGTTTTCTAATAAAATAACTTACTAAGTATCAGTGGGGTACAATTAAATGAATTCCTCTAAAAATCCCGTAATTAGATATATTTTATAATACCATGTTCTTCCTCTTGTTTGCGACCTGTGAAACAACCAAGGGAAGGCATTTTTAGTAAAAAATTGTGTTAATTTTCACCTTACACATCTTGTACAGCCTGTGAGAAACAACCTATAAAATATTGAATGAAAACGGTAATGCAGAGGCTAAAGCAGCACGTCAAATACCTATGTGACATTGACATATGGTCTACTAGAGCGCGTGGATATGCAAACTAACTGTCGCGCATATTTTACCTAATGTCTTCGACAAAGGTGGGAATGGAGACAAATTTTCGACTGTTCTGTGAAGGCCGCCGTGAAATCAGCTGTAAAGATACAGGACTATCAAGTTCGCTCGGAAACAGCTGAAACAGATTGATTTATCGTCAGCTTAAACTGTATTTTTTACTGTTTTAACCGTAAACAGCTGTTTTCACCACTCTCTTAACTGTGGGCTATTTCAAACAATGACACATCTGCGTGGGTTTATTATATTACATCATCTGTATTACTTTTTGTCTTTTTGTTTTAAAACTGATTGGAACTGTTTTTACGCTCATTTAATTGGAGATGAGTTCAAGTAGATGATTAAATCCTCTGTCACATCCAATGATCCATCATAATTTTACGATATGAGTACGACCGCTAAGCTTTTGTTTCCCAACCCCATAAATAAAAAATGCAGCCTTTCGTAAACATATCACTGAAATATGGAGGTTAAGTTGTATGATTACATAATTACTCAAATCTTTTCATAAAATACGTACTTTAAAAATGTGCCGGAGTCATTTTACGTCGAGTATTTGGTGGGAATTATTATCACATATAGCATATAAACAAGTATTTACGTGCAAGAATACACGTTTATGTACATTTAGTAACGTAAAATAGTTCTTACAAAACCTTTTTGTGTAATATCTTACAACCCCTCCTCCAAGTGCAAAACTCCCATCATGTTGACACAAACAAATTGTGAAACCTAAATCTAAGATTTCGCACTAAAAACTGGCATAAATAAAATAATATTGCAAGCGCACAAAAATACAGTTGACAACCTCCAACGTAATAAATCAGTGTAGATCCTAACCTGTCAAATAAATGGAGTGTCGATCTCCCATTTGATCAATACAAAACCCCTTCCCCATCTGCCCCGAGCATCTCTAATAAATCGTTTTATCCCTCGGTTAATTTAGAAAGTCAGGTTTTCAGATTCAACTCGTCACACATTAATCTTGTAGATTTTAGAGGAGTAAACATAGGCACGTCTTCCATTAGTTTTCACGTGAGTATGTGTTTTTATTGATTAACATTATAATTATGCAACTTTGAATGCGTGCTCGCTTTAGTTCTCAATTCATAAGACTACCATAATATTATTTGATAGCCAAACGATACCTTGGATACGTGGATTAGTAATTATTTTTACACTATGGTCTAATACATTTTCACATCCACTTTTACATTCTTGTCAGGATAGCTAGAATACGATTTTTTCATTGTATACTCACATAATCTTTGTGAATAAAATCTGTACATAATTTATGTATATAGACATATACGTGCCCATATATGAGGTAGTAGTTTCAAACATTTATTATCGAAACTAAGAAGGTGAAAAGCATACAAAACTTTACCAATGCATTATACATAGGCCTATATACGGGTTTTTAACACAACCCAAATTACAAGTACATACGGAGACAAAATGTTTGAGGATGTTCTTCCTCGTACGTTGGTATCCCTACTTCATTACCGATCAGCTGATTTTCATTAGAGCATTGTTTCCTAGACTGTAAGCTTTGTATGCCAACATTTTTGCTGTTTTCAGATCCAAATAGGTACCATAACTTTTTAAACAGTTTATAAATAGTTTATTCATTTCATACTGGAATCACACCTGAATAAATAATATGTAGCCTTTTTTGCCATAAAACTTATGATTTTAATGTATTATCCTACTATTTTATATGAACATGCAAAAACACAATTATGTTGAGTCTTATTCAAAATAATTTACAAATAAGACTAAAACTGGTAGTGAACAATGCAACTATGCATATCAGATGAGTGGCAATGAAAAAAGATTATACGAAACAATAAGCTAATTTAGTCTTTAATCGTTGTCTTTCGGTACTTGTAGAAAAAAAACACCCTGTTGCTGTCCAATGATATTCTTCTTTGTAACATTAATCTGACGTTGTTTGGCATAGAAAGACAATTTTCCCTTGCAATTTGGAATAAAGAACAAACCGTTTTTAAGGTAATGCGGTCAAATTCTTCAAATATTTTTAATCCGGGAAATTGCTAGAAAAACATCAAATTTATTTCGATTAAATTACATACCGGTACTATAAGATTAAATTTTAAGCTGTAAATAATTTTAAATAAAAAAAATAATTATACTGCATTATTATGACTGTATTGGTGATTGTTTAAGCAATCATCATAAAACAGTTTGTAAGATTTAAGTAAGTCTACAGATGGAGGAAGCCAAGTCTAGAGCTGAACCCATTTGAAACTGATGGCAACAATAGCGGATAGTAGATGTAATGTAACAAATAGCTTAACCACCCAATTGGCTTTGGAACAAATTAAATCTGCTTAGTTTAACTCAATCGCCATTCAATTAACAATACAGACAGCTGAATTTCGTTTGTGACTAAGAGAAATGGCTGACATTTGTTTCTAAGTTACCTTGATTTGTTTATGTATATTGTCTATCAATTTAGGGTTTTGAGAATGCAAACTTTTATTTTGCCAAGATTGAATATAAAAAATGGCAATGTAACATAAATATTGAAAATTTAAACTATTATTCTGTTTGTAGTGACAATTTTGTTTCACATCTTTTTTGTAAATTTGATTTTTCCATTACCAAAGCAAACTTATAAATTTAAACATAAAATAAAGTAATAGTGAAATAATAATTGACTGTATTTTGTTATTTTTGTATTTTCTATTTAACTATAATTCAACATAAATAAAAGTTTTACAATGGAAATGTCATAATGAAGAATTAATTTGGAGAAATTCAAAAATAAAATTGCGAAAATCCTTATAAAATAAATAAAATCATATTTCAAATACTAAAAACAAAGGTTCTCTTGCATTTGTTCTTAAACTTGGTCATTGTATATAATTCAAGTTTAAAAAATTTATTATTTCAAAATAACCTCCATTTCGAAACTTTGATAATTGTTTATAGCTCATGACGATTAAAGCCAATATTAAATTTGATAACAATATCTTAAATTGTTTTTAAAATATAAATTAAATACACGAAAACCCAATAGGCTGATATCTCACTGAATAATTTTGTAACAAAAGTGTTTTTCTTGGTTTTCGATTTATTTTGACCCATTAACCCTATTCCTAAATCTGTTGTACTTACTTACGAGACACCCTGTATGTGTATAGTGAGTAAAATATTACTCTATAAAATATTAAAGATGTGGCTGAAGTACCGACATTTTATTAATATAAATAGCATTGTGTATTTTTTTATTAACTCGTTATTTAAAAAAATATTACTCTATGTGGAGTGTATATAATTAGTGTAATATAATATTCTATGTAGAGTGTGTAGAGTGTAATATATTACTCTATGTAGAGACAATGCGATCAACGATATTACTCTATGTGGAGCGTATGTAAGTAATGTAATAGAATATTCTATGTAGAGTGTGTAGAGTGTAATACAGGGTGTTCATTTGAAAACTTTCCATATCTGTTGTGTGCAAAGGTAAGGCTTTTAACACTTGTTTGTTCTCAATTCCCCCTAATTTGGACATGCCAAATCCAATAAAATTATTTTCAATTTTGAAAAAGGGTATACTACAAGTTATCTTAAAGAGTAGCTCAAGAATAAGCTTGGAAAGAAATTTGGTGCTGTTCCGTTCAGTAGTTAGGGTAATACGGTACTTGACTTCAAAGTCCTTTTTTAAAACGTTTTGACCCACCCTGTAAATACGGTTAAAGATAATTAAACTTTTTTTGCACCAAAATGATCGGGGTGATTAGAGCTTTAAATTGATGTATCACACAACCCATGTTTACATTTGAAAATTTCTCAAAAACCACCCCTACCCCCCAAATTGGGCCCTTTTGGGGCATTTTTCAAAATTGAAAATAATTTTATTGGATTTGGCATGTCCAAATTAGGGGGAAATGAGAACAAACAAGTGTTAAAAGC